CCATTTGAATGAATTTGACACATGTTAATATGATTTGGCACACGGTAATATTAAATGTCAAAATGTTTGTCCATGTCATCACTTTGCTCTCCATGTCATCACTTTGCTCTCCACATCATCAAAAAATATATAAAAAATGCCACATAAGCGGAGTTAACGGCTCAAATTAACAGAATGACTAACGGAGTACATTTCTTGTAGTTGAGGGATCAAAAAAGTGCAAAAAATTGTTGAGGGATCAAAAATGTTCATTTCTTAAAGTTGAGGGACCAAATTTAGCATTTAACCATCAAATATTAATGTCTGATCCAGAGGCCAAATGTGCTGCAAGATTAATGGAAGACAAGAAGCAACCCCCTCATGTAGTCATCTTCCCACTTCCGCTACAAGGCCATGTCAACTCCATGCTCCAGCTAGCCGAGCTGTTAGCCCTGTCAGGCCTTAAAGTCACCTTCCTCAACTCCCCCCACAATCACAACCACCTGCCGCAATTCGCCGATGTTCCTGCCCGGTTCACCAAATTCCCCGGTTTTGAATTCAGGACGGTGCCCGACGGTCTCGCCGATGATCATCCGAGGACAGGTCGTTTCCTTCTGGAGATGCTTGATGGAATGATCGTGAAAACGAAACCGTCTCTGAGAGATCTCTTGGTCGACATCAACCCGTCAGTGGACTGCATCATCGGAGATGGGATTTTAGGGTATCTTCTTGATATTGGCGAAGAGCTTGAGATTCCGGTCATCCAATTCCGTACCATCAGTGCCTGTTGCCTCTGGGTTTATTACAGAATTCCCGATCTAATCGGAGCCGGAGAGATTCCCGTCGGAGGTATTCGCTTTCTAGTCTACTGTAAATATTGCATATTAGCCCTCATACTTCTTTCAAAAGTTCACTTCGGTTCATTAAGTGTTCATAACTTCATATACTATTTTTTTTTTTTGAACATGCAACTTCATATACTATTTTAAAACCCTCTTATACCCTTCTTTTAATGTGAGAAATTAAAGGAAATGAGGACATGGACCGTTTGATAAAGATGGTGGAAGGAATGGAAAATTTTCTCCGGGGCCGAGACCTTCCTAGCTTCTGCCGAGCTAAAAATCTGGAGGTGGAGGGTACACGAGTACAAACTTTTGCGCAAGAGACACGAAGAAGCGCAACAGCACATGCTCTCATACTCAACACCTTTGAAGACTTGGAAGGACCCATATTATCTCACATCCGCACCAAATTCCCTAAAATCTACACCATAGGACCACTCCATGCACATCTCAGGACAAAGCTCTCCGAGAAGAATCTGGTGTCGTCTGACTCCTTGAACGGTATTCGGGAAGTTGACAGAAGCTGCATTTCCTGGCTTGATCAGCAAGCAATGCATTCTGTTGTCTATGTAAGTTTTGGTAGCATTGCAGGTCTGACAAGGGAGCAACTTCTAGAAGTTTGGTATGGGCTTGTTAAAAGCAAGGTGAGGTTCTTGTGGGTTGTGAGGCCAGACTCTGTGTTGGGCCATTGGGGTGATGAGGATGTTCCGGTCGAGCTCATGGAGGGAACTGAGGAGAGAGGGTATTTGGTGGATTGGGCCCCACAAGAGGAGGTCCTGGACCATTGGGCCGTTGGTGGGTTCTTGACTCACAGTGGATGGAACTCTACGTTGGAAAGTGTGGTTGCAGGGGTTCCAATGATATGTTGGCCTCAATTTGCTGATCAACATGTGAATAGTAGGTATGTGAGTGAGGTGTGGAAGATAGGGTTAGACATGAAAGATTTTTGTGATAGACATGTTGTTGAGAAATTGGTGAATGATTTGATGGAGGAGAAAAGGGAAGAGTTTGTGGGATCAGCAAGGACAATGGCTAAGTTGGCCAAGGAAAGTGTTAGTTTTGGTGGGTCCTCTTACTGTAATTTGGACAGTTTGATTGAGGACATCAAATTGATGAGCTTGAAAAAATCATGAAAGCTTGGAGATGTTTCAATAATTCCTGTCAGTACAAAACAAAGCATGTGTCTACATATTTCACATGATGCTTAATAACTAATTTTGCAATCTAGACTATTCAGTAGGACTACGATAGAAGATTCAAATGGAACATAAGGCAAGGGCAAAAAAGGAAATAGTGCTTCCAATGATTTTATTCATCTCTGTATTCAAATTCGACCACGCAAATCTCAACATAGAATACCACTTGAAATAGAGTACTTCATGGATAACAATAATTCAGCATGAAAAATAAACGATTATGGTGATGAAATGTGACTAACCAAGCTATCCAGTGACTGATATGAAGAACCACCTTCATGGAGGCATTGAGTTGCCTTCTCCTTTAAGATCAATGCTCTGCCTCTTATTTCTTCCCCCTCTTCCTCCATCATTACTCCTTTTATGACTCTCTCTATCATCCCTCTCTCCCGCTTCTCCAATTGCACACCAACTCCCCAAACCTCGGTTACATATCTGGCATTAACCCTTTGATCCATGAAAAAAGGCATACAAATCATGGGAACCCCTTCACATATGCTCTCCAACGTTGAATTCCAACCATTGTGAGTCCAAAATGCCCCAATTGCTGGATGAGCCAACACTTCCTGTTGTGGAGCCCACATGACTATGCATCCCCTTTCATCCAAAGCTTCCAGGAACCCTTTTGGCATTGCTTCAAGCCAGTCAGAGTTGATGGTTGATCCAGGCCTAACCACCCACAGGAAGGGCTGCTTGCTGTTGGTTAAGCCCCAAGCTATCTCTAAAAGTTCCATTTCATAAACCGCTGTCAAACTTCCAAAGCTGACATAAACAACTGATCTGGGTCCTTGTTTGTCTAGCCAAGAAATACAGCTTTGATCCTGGGTTAATAAGCTACTCAAAGAGGCTGGAAAGCGTTTATGAAATGGACCAATTGGAAAAACTGGGATGCCAAATTCCTGGCGTAGTGTAGCCAGGGCAGGTTGCTCAAGATCCTCAAAGCTATTTAATATGAATCCTGAAGAGGTCCTCGTCATATTGACCATGTCATCTACTAATTGATAATATTCGTCAGGGGCACATGAGTCATGGAGGGGAAGGTCTTTGACCCTGAGAGGTGCAAGCTCTACCACCAACTTCTCTAATTGAGAATCTGACACGGTCTCAAGCAACAAGTGTTTTATCACATAATTGTTAGCAAAATCAGTATCAAAAAACCAAAGAAAAGCCTGTATCTTTGTTTCTAAAAGTAGTGAAAATAAGAGGAAAAAAAAAGTACCTTGTAAAGGAAGGTATCCCTTCTCCCTCAAAAGAGGAAATGCAGCATAAGCAGAAGAGGAGGTCGCTCCACCAGTCCTCATGACTATCCTCTTCAGCTTAAGCTCATCTGCAACAGCTTGAGTAAAGTGACAAGCAAAATCCGAGATCAAGCATGCAATAGGCTCCTTCGAAACATTAGACAATAACTCAGCCAAGCAATCACGGAGAGGCTGTGCACATCTAACATTAATCAGTTGAATAAGAGCCACAATATTGGGATTACATTTTTCATCTTCAGATAAGTTTTCATTGATGAAATGGAAGTCAAAGTCGGGGTAATTTGAAGGGTTGGGAGAGTTGAAGTTGGTGCAGATTATGGTGATGGAGAAACCCTTGGAATGGAGAATATTTCCCAGCTGAATGATGGGATTTATGTGGCCTTGGAAGGGAAAAGGAAAAAGCACTAATCTCTGGCCCTTCCTCTGCTCCATCTAGTTGCTGCACTGATTGTCCAGAGAGGCTCCTCTATTGCAGCAGAAAATCACGTAAAAATCTTGCATTTTTCAACAGGTACAATCAACCAAAGTACAAATACTCAATCAAACTTTTAACAAGAAACCCACTACATAAAAAAAGATTTCTTCTTCATCCTAACAAAGATCCAAAGAAAGGGTAATAGAAACATACATTAGTGCAAAAAACTGAGTCTTTGGACCAAATTTGAATCAGCTAATTAGTATCTCGAAGACAAAGCATTCCCTTTCCTTCATTCTGGTGGGATACCCAGCAACTGTTCAACCATGTCTAGCAGAAGATCTGGTCATGCACCATTACCAGACCTTCGACCCATGAGTCTAAGAAAGTCAAGCAGCAAAAACCTGCCATTTCAAAAATATCTCAACATTTAAAAAAAAAAAAAAATTGGGAGTTTAATGGGCTACAGAATTGGGGCTTCATCGGCCCAATAATTCTTTATGCCAAACCTGCTAATTGGACCCAAGTCTGTGACTGCAAGTCAGATCTGGTAGTTGATACAGCCCACAAGAAAGTGTAGTGCTGCTGCTTGCAATTGGTTATTCGTCCAGAGCAAACATTGACAATTCAACAATTGAGTGGCTTGGGACAGGACAAAACTAGCCTGCCTCGGATGATTCACAGAAGAAAGATTTAGTTAAAAAACCCACCCAACAACTTCTATTTCCATCCACCACTTTCTTATCTGGACTATACCTTTAACTTTCATATCTCTGTATCTTAGATTAGTTTACTAGTATAAATCTACATCTAGTAACTATGATGTAATCTAATCATCAATCTACCCAAGTTACTTGAAAAACATATTCCTTCGTCATACCTCACTTTGATTCTTTATATATATATATAATAATCAAAATATTTTTAAATCAATTTACACATATTTTAACATTAATCTCATTTCAAACATCCTTAAATCCACACCTTCTATATTTACTTGTTAAATGTCAATGTAATTTAATCAACATAATCTTACTTGAATCAGGTCTTTAACTTCAATAATTTATTTTTAGATCATAAACTTAAATTTAATTAATTAAAAATTTAACTTTCATCGATTATTTAAAAAATTCTCCGTTCTTCAATAATTTCTCGTTTCTCATGTTCAAAAAAAATTTTTAAAAAAAATTGGCATAATCTTACTATAATTTTAGAAAGACGAAAAGAGCTTCAGAATTTTTTAATTAATGGAAAGGGAGAGTTTGAGTTTGACTGGTCAACACTGCAGCAGCACCAAAAAATACAGCTACCGAAGCTTCATGTCTTCTTTTTCGGTAACTTTTTTAATTTATAAAAAATTCCAGAAAAATTAAAAGGTAAATATCAGAAAATGACAGATCCAATCTCGTCCCATCAAAATAGGGCCAACCTGGCCAAGGAGAAAAAGCACGGCAAAATTTCAGCCTCCCTCTCCAATTTTTTCTGTTGTGTCCCCACTGTCTCTGCTTCACCCGGAAGCAATTCTTTGTTTCCTCCTCTCTTTTTTTTTTTTTTTCTTCTCAATCACTTTTTTAACAAAGCATATAAACTTCAGCTGATGATGATAATCATTTCTCCCTTGCTCGCAGCCTAAGCTTTTTCAATATTTGCCTAGACTAAAAACAGAAAGAAGAGCCATATTTCAAAAAAGGAAAAACTTTATTGTTCAGCAACACTAAATTTTTTTTTTTTAAACAGTATTACATGGGATGGGTTTTGAACCTTGCCGGAGGGAGGAATGCATCTTATGTGGTCAAATATAAATAATATAAATTAGTTAATAATATAAATAATTTAGTATTAATTTTTTAAAATAAAAAATTTTAAATATAAATAATATAACATGCAAGTTAATTAAGTTTAAAAATAATGTATGAAAATGAGTTACCTTTTATTATTGAATTTAAGGTTAAAAAAAAAAAAACTAAACTACTAAATATAAACCTTTATTGGTCCAGTGTAAAAAATTACAAATTACAGAATCTTTGGTATAATCCATACGGCAAAAACTGGAAATTTCAGCACAAAATGAAAAATAGATTTTCAGAATAGTAATAAATAGAAATTTTTTTTTATATAAATATTAATCAATGGGGATGGGATATTACAAGCTGAGGGAGATTTTCCCACTACTGCACAGCCCAAAACCCTCAAAATTTCAAGAACAAAACCCCACCCATTTCCCAATTATTACATCACAAAAAAATTAAACACCCTTTCAATCCCTACCCACTCTACTAATCCTTCCTATTATGTTTCTTCTTATATAACTAAGTACCCAAAAGCTGAAAAAAAAAAAAAATTTATTGATACCATACTTATTTCTCCTACCTAATCTACACACATTCTTGAATCCATTTCCCTTTATAACCAAACTAGAAAAATACCAGACAATATCTCATCTACTACTACATTTTGTAATTAATATAATTAAATTTCCCCAACAAAAAAACCAACACCATCAATAAGTCCAGTCCTGAGGTAGACGTAATTCTTGGTTTAGCAACGCCTCCTGTCTGTAACTTAGCTTCTTCTGCTGTGACAAGAGAGCAGCATTTCTTCTAGCCATCATTGCATCTGTAAAATCACAAGACAAAGTGAGTTTAACTTAAGTACCCCAAACAGAACATTAATTCTATGCAAAAAATAAAAA